AGTAGCTTGCGATAAGAAGCTGCGTTTGCTTTTCGAGAGTCAGAAGATAAACATTATCAAAGTCCCTGATTTGGTAGAGAAGCATTATGTAGAGAATCAGGACGACTCGGACTTTGGTTTTCTCTACGGCTCAGAGGATGATGAACAAAAGAGAGTGTCTCTATCAGATAAGTCGGATAAACAGACGAAACAGGTTGTTCAGAAGCCTAAAGGGAATTTTGCTGCGATTGTGAGCGATAATATTAAGCTTCTCTATTTAAGAAAGAGTTTAGTCCAAGAACTAGCAAAGATCCCTGAAACCTTTGAGAGTAAAGTGTTGGGGACTTTTGTGAGGATCAAGAATCCCTGTCAGCTTGTTCAAGTGACAGGTAATTTTTCAGCTGAATATTGGTACATGTACAAAGCCTAGTTGGACAAGTGAAACATCAACATGCAGTGTTTCACTCGAAGGGTTAATATCTCTTTTGTGTTTTGTTTTCCTGTCTTGTAGGGGTAAAGGAGGGAAATCTGATTGATGGTCATCTTCTTCAGGTTACAAATTATTCGTATTATCTAGCAGATGTTCCTTCCTCTGGCCTATCAGATGATGATTTCTCTCAGGTAAATTTCTCAGAACCATGCCTGTTCCACTTTTGTGCTTCTTATCAATGTCAACAAGGGAAACAGTTAGTCCAGAATGGTTCTTTGAAGCTTACTCTCGTTTCCCTGATATCAATTCTTTATGACACAGATTAGCGTGCAAGACCTTTCTTTCTCCTTTAAAGCGTATTTCTGTTTGTTTGTGATAACAAACAGAAATACGCTTTAAAGGAGAAAGAAAGGTCTTGAACACTATTCTGTGTCATGAGAACTGGCAATGGACTTTGTAGTTATCTGAAGGTGTATATCTTAAGCCATTATCTTGTCTTTAACGAATGGCTATGTAGGTTTTACTTGACAGATATAGTGCTTCTTGTTTATGATTTCTCATAAGCCTTATGTTAACTTTGTGCAGGAGGAATGTGAAGAAGAATTGCGTCAGAGAATAAAGAATGGCTTTGCTAAGAGACTTACAGTTGTAAGTAGCTAACGGTACCTCAAGTTTCAGACTTATCGTTTTGAGAGATTTCTCCTGCAACTTGCTCACTGTGTTGCTTATTTTTCTGGTTTTGACTTGTTTTAGTTCTCTAATCAAAATCCGCTTTAACCATGGACAGGTGGATATGGAAGAAAAGGCTCGAACTTTGCATGAAGATATTACAAATCATGTATGTCGCTTACTTGCTCTATATTTGACTATCATGATAAGTTATGCAGCATAATACTCTTTAAGATGATCTGTCAGATTGTGTATGAAGTTGCAAACTTTTATCCAGAAAAAAGTGATTTCTGTTTGTATTTTCATAACTAACTCTCAACTTTTGTTTTTGGGTGTCTTTTAGTGGCTTGCAAGAGAACTTGTATTGTTACAAAGGCTTATCAATCGGGCCATGGAAAAGGGATGGCGAAGAGAATATCCTTTTTATAAAGTATTATCATTTTTGTAAAATATGTAGTTTTTTGTTACTTCTATTTGAAGAATTACTATTGGAGAAGTGATAGTGAGACTCTTTCTATTACTTTTTTTGGTTTTCTTGACCTCTTAGCTATTACGCTATCCCAGTATCTGGATAAAAGGGATCTTCTTACGAATCCAGAAGAACAGTCGAGGCTATTGCGTGAAGTGCCGGAAGTTGTTGCAGAAGAAGTTGAACCCGAATGCGTTGATGATGGGAAAATAGAAAATGACTTTGTCGAACCAAACCCTGAAGTTTCCATCGAGGCTCCTCGTCAAAGTGACAAAGAACAACAATTAATTGATTCACCAGTTTCTAGTATCCAGAAAACTCTTGAAAATTCCAAGCTCCGTGATGGTGATGACCAGCCAACATGGACTGCTTCTGCAGGTGCGTGCGTCCCATGTTTTGTAACCTCAGTCTTCAGTTCAATGATAGGATTTGAATTGGCTGGATCAATGAAAACCTATTCATCCTAGCCATTGTCCAAAAGTTTTCTGATTGGGACAATTATCATTTGATATTATTATTATTGGATTGTTTGCGTTTCATAGTTAAACTAGATGGTATCTAACTGATTCGGACCCGTACTTGTGTGAATTTCAGATGACAAAGATCAAGACGTGTTCGAGCCGCCAGCAAATGGCATCACACAGAACAAAGACTCCAACACTGAAGTAGAAATGACTGATCTCGATAATGAAACTCAAGCAAATCCTCTAGAGATCATTGATGAAGATACGTTCGAGCCGCCAGCAAAGGGTATCACACAGAACAAAGACTCCATCCCTGAAGTAGAGATGATTGATCTCGATAATGAACCTCAAGCTCAAGAAAATCCACCAGAGATCACTCATGAAGATGTGGTCGAGCCACCAGCAAATGGTATCACACAGAACAAGGACTCCATCCCTAAAGTGGAGACGATTGATCTCGACAATGATCCTCAAGCTCAACCAAATCCACCAGAGATCATTGATCTGAGCGATGATGATAATGACGAGGAGGAGGACAAGGACAATCAAGCTTACAAGCATCATGATCCAAAGAAGGTGATGTGGTTCTATGAATTCCCTGAAGGGAAAACAAATGGACCATTCTCTCTCACAGATCTCAAAAGATGGAGCGACGACGAATACTTTGCTGCAATTCCAGATTTCAAAGTATGGACGAGAGGAAACAGCATGAAATCTGGAGTGTTGCTGGCCAAACTTCTACCTCATATCAAATTCTAATTTAGAACAACTTGTGAATCTCAGAATTAGTTTTGAATTATAGGATTTCTCAAACTAAAATTTCTGCAGAACTTGATTAAACATATAATGCAAAGATTCTGATTTTTGTTATTGAAAATCCAATGAAAGCATAATTGTTAAGAGATTCCCTAACAAATCATTAGTTCTTCTGCAAGTTATTAATTTTAAATTAAAGAAAAAAAAGTGAGACATATTTAAACCCCCAGAGGTCAGCAACAGTGTCACCAGCTGCAGAATTAAAAAATT